GCACCCTGCTGGCTACTGGCATGGGGGTGGGAATGGAGGTAGAAACTCACAGCTTTAGGACAGCCAGGTTGGCTTCCAGATCATAGGCATTCTCCTTGGCCTGTGTCTCCACATAGCGCTCCAGGGTGGCCAGATTCTCAGGATTGTACCTAGAGAATAAAGATGGATGAACAGGGAGGAGACAGGAGTTGAGCTCAGTTACTCTACGGGGCCAGGGAGGAGGGTCACTGTAGCCTGCTCCTCTCTCTCTTCCTTTCTTCCCTTTCTTTAGCTCTGTCACTGGCCACTTAGGCTCTACCCAAATACTGAATCAGCTCTATAATTTCTAATAAAACTTATCCACACCCCAGACCTAAGCCAAAGCTCTAAACTGCATCAGAGCCTTGGGTCTTTTCTAGGTTGCCTCCTCAACCTTTCAGACAGCAAGTCATTGCAGGCTGTATACCTAGCCTCCTAGACATCTTTGCTACCCACCCTTACCTTCCCTCCCCAGATCACATTCTGGTCTAGGCCCGTCCTCTCCTGCCTAGCTCCCCTCATCACACCCTGACCACTACTGGTTCTAACTAGCTACTTGGTTTGTTTGGATTCTGAACTGGGAACTCCATAAAGCATGGCCTGCGGCTGTCTTGGTCAACTGTGGTCTGCAGCATTGCTCAGCACTGACAGACTAGATTTTAGTAAACATGTGTTAAATGAATAATATGAGAGAGGTGAAGGAAGGGAGAGATAAAGAGGCACTAAGAGACACGAAGAGACTGAGGAGCAGACACAGAGAGACATTAAGGCAATTAAAGGGGAGACTGGCGGTAGGAAACGCTATCTTCTGCCTTCAGGTCTTTGCAGTGCTATTTCCTTAAACATCTCCTCCAGGATGATAGGTGAGAACCCCAGGGCAAGCCCAGGACTGACCACCCCTTACTGACTCCAGAAAATCCTCTCCTCCACCCCGCTTGGCCAGAAGCGCTCCCTACGACCGAACTCAGACCTGTCGATACCCTTGAGCAACTTGCCCACGTTTGCTCTCATCTGCTCAAACATCGCCATGATTCCGTCGCCTCCCACACCCGGGGTGAAGCCGCAGACCGGGCCGGCGCGGACTCCTCGAGGACCGGAAAAGGAAAAGTTGGTGGAAACGGAAACTACGTCATTGTTTTCGCTGCAGCCCGGGGGAGGGTGATGAAGGGCGGAGGTTCTTGCGGCGGCTGCCACGCTTTCCGGCTGTCACATGACTTCTCCCCAGCAGGCGCAGTTAGCGCGTGCGTGTATGCTCTACCCGAGCAGCATCAACGGCGTGAGAAAAAGCCGGGTCTAGCCAAGTGCGCAGGCGCCTTCTCGAGGGATGGTGCCGAGGAGGCGGGGCTAAGGTTTTCCCGGGCCTCGCGTACCCTTTTCTAGTGCCTGCGGTGTGCGCACGAGCTGCCAGGGAAGGAGACGGATCTCTGACGGCGTGCACGGACGTCGCGTTGCTCGCTACCGTGAACTCAAAAGCTGTGCTGGAATGCACGTATTAGTCTCCCTTTGGGCCATGGCCAAGTCCCGAGGAAGGTGCTTTTTGAGGTCCCCATTGCCTCACGCCATGGTCCCTAAAGCAAGATCTGAGCTCCACAATTTCAAGTCCTGAACCCGGTCCCCACGCTGCACCCTGACGCCAGGGTTAGGGGCCTGCAAAGCTGTTGTGCTCTGCCTGTCAGGGACAGGGGTGAGGGGCTCCTGGACCCCGCCAGATCACGCCCAGTCCCCATAGGCTCCTGTCTTGTGGGTGAGAGCGAGCACCACATGTGTGTACAGGTTCTGCACACTGCAGGCATGAAAGCACATGCGTGTGTCATTTATGTGGAGGTATATGCTCTGGGTACATCCACATGTACGCACACGGGTATCCAGACATGTGCACGTTGACTGGTCTTCACACTGCACAGGGGGTTACCACTAAGTGCCTTATGAGCCCCACCCCCCACCACCCCGGGACAGTAATGTACACTGCATGGTCATCCCCGTGCAGACCTGCCATCTACCGGTTGTGGCCAAAGTCTCAAGCACTCAGCAGAGGTTCAACTACAGTTTTTAGCTGCCGCCCAGAACGAGGGAGGGAGTGTTAGGGCACCCTCCCACCCCAGGTCATAATTAAGATAGTTTGCATCTGGTTTACATTAAGCCCACGGCCTTGGAGGTGGAGGGGGGTCCCCTGGGTCCCGAGGCAAGCTGCCTCTCACAGGATTTCAGGGCCCAGGGGACAGGGGGTGGAGCCGGCCGCACAGCCCTGCTGGGGCAGGAAGCGAGAGTGGGGAGGGGGAAGGCCACAGCCGGTGGAGGCAAGACGGGTGCAGGGCGTGTGGGGAGGGAGGGAGGTGCCAGCACTCCGAGCCCTGAGGCCCTGCTGGCCCCTGGGCGCAGGCCCAGCTCCGGCCCCCAGGAATGGACCTTGCGGACCCCGACATCTTTAATAGGGACCCCCGGGACCACTATGACCTGCTGCAACGGCTGGGCGGCGGCACCTATGGGGAAGTCTTCAAGGTGAGGAATCCCCTCCTTCTCCATCACCCTCAGACCAGAGATCTTTGGGGTGAGGCCCAAGAAGGGAAGGGGATGCAAGAGGGTCCCAGTCCTTGGCTTTGGTTCAAGGATGCTGAGGAGAGCGCAGGCGAATGGAGCCTGCCTGACTGCCAACTTCCCCTTTATAAGGCTCGAGACAAGGTGACGGGGGACCTGGTGGCACTGAAGATGGTGAAGATGGAGCCTGGTGAGGAGAGAACCCAGGAGTGCCTTCCCCACACCCCCACCTCCTGGGACACTGGGATCTCTCCCATACCCCTTCCCTGCAGCGGCCTTTTCTCTCCTGCCCCTCCTTGCAGATGATGATGTTTCTACACTTCAGAAGGAAATCCTCATCTTGAAAACTTGTCGGCATGCCAACATCGTGGCCTACCATGGGAGTTATCTCTGGTGATGAGCTTTAGACCTGCCCTGGGACCCAGCCCAGCCCCTACCCCCGAACTCCCATTCCTGACAAGGGTACCCCCTACCCTGACCTCAATCATGGATCCTCATTTTTAACTGGGGCACCCCTAACTTGATCTCCAAGTCAAAGTCCCACTTCTCTGCCCAAAGGATCCCCAAATCTAATCTCCAATCCAGAACTCCCATTTCTTACAAGGGGTCCCCAAAATGGATCCCTTTGTAGTAACCAAACCTGAAGCCAAGTCCCTTAAAACCAATCTTTCATAATCCTGCTCATCGGGTCCCCCGGTTTCACTTTCTGTTCCTTTAATATGAACCCCTAAATTCCCTGACCCTCAAACTAATATCCCAGATACCTCAATAATGACTTCTGTTCCCCATACCCGGCACCCTGGCCTCCTCTGTCACCTCCGAACTTTCACAGCCTGTGAAGTCTCTGCCCTGTCTTCTAGATTAGTGTGGAACAGCAGAGATGCTCTGGGTTAGGAGCCCAAAGACCTGGGTTTGATTCCAGTTGACCTTGAACATATTATTTCTTCTCTGAGCCTCAACTTCCCCATCTGTAAAATGGAAATGGGACTGTCTCACTCTGGTGGACGAGAAAGAGATGGCAGCTCTTACACTGAAGTTCTTGTTGAACTAGAACAAGGCAGTGGGCTAGGAGCTGTCCTAGAAATAATTTATTACTGCTATTGTGATTGCTCTTGAACTGTTGTAGGCTGCAGAAGCTCTGGATCTGCATGGAATTCTGTGGAGCTGGTTCTCTCCAGGATATCTACCAAGGTGAGAGGAGCCCCTGCTCCTCCAATCCACCTCTTCTGTCCCTCTGCCTTTGTGTCTCCTGGGACTGTCTTTCTGATACATATTTCACTCAATGAGCCCCTCCTCTGGGCCTGACCTGGCCCGGATGATGCTGGGGATGTGACAGAGCGGGCCCTGAGCCCTGTCCTCCAGGACCTGAGAGTCCAGCCCTAGTCTTTCTGCAGGCAGTGACCCCTACTTCTTCCCCCACCCCATCTTCCTCTGTGTCTGCTTTTTCTCGCCAAGGTCTACTCACAAATTTGAGTATTTCTGCATTTCTGGCTCATTGTCATTTAATGCCCACATGTTCATTTAAGGAGTGAATGTATTTCTGATTCTCTCAGCCTGCTTTTCGCTCTCTTGGAGCATTTGAGGGTGGGGGCGGGGTGGGTCTCTGATCACTTCTGGATTTCTGATGTGCACCTCTGTCTCTGACTATCTCCCTGTCTCCACAAAGGTCAGGAAAGGAAGGACTTCATTAGGAAGTCCTAGGCGGGGAAACTGAGGCCCACAGAGAGGAAGTGACTCACACCACCAGCTGTCAGACCTGCTCCGTGCCCTCTCTGTCTGTGTCTATATTGTCCCCTCTGTATCTCTCTTTCTCAATGTGTCTGTTTTCCCACTTCTTGGTCTCTGCCCATCTCTTTCTTTCTCTGCCTCAGTTTGGATCTGTTTCTGATTTTCTGTCCCTGTCTCTGTCTCTCTCTGCCTTTCCCCATTTTAACAAAGTCACATCACCTCCTGCTCAGAGCCCTCCCAAGCCTTCCATTTCCCTCCAACAATAAGCCCAAATTTCGCATCACAGCCCACGAGTCTGACGCCCACAACCACCCCAGCCCGACCCACCTTATCTCCACTCCACCCACTTTGCCACTTTCCAGGCCCACCAGGCAATTTCCTACCTCCGGGCCTTTGCACTTGCTCATCTTGTTCACGTTGAGTGGGACTGCTCCCATCCTCAACCCCGTCACCTTCTCAGAGTTGCCTTCACTGATCACCCAGTATAAAATGTCATACCCCTTCCCACACATATTTCCTGTTGTCTTTTCTTGCTTTTATTTTTTTCTATTTATTTGCATCTCACATACTGTGTCTTTCACCTATTTCTCTTGTCTACTATCCATTTCCCCCACTGGAATAGTCTCTCCACGAGGGTGGGGATCTCTGTCTCTATGTCCACAGCTGTGTCCCCATTGCCTACCACGGTGCCTGGCACACAGTAAATGTGTAGTCTGTTGAATGAATCTATCTCCCTCTGGCCTCTGGTTCCCTGCATCGCTGCCTCTCTCTTTTGCTGACCATTCCTTGTCCCCTCCTGTTACCCCCTCCCCATGTGGTACCTGGTGTGGGTGGCAGCCAGGGGCTCCTGGGGCCAGGTTTCCTGGTCCCCATCTGACACCATGCCGGGGTGACCTTTGCAGTCACAGGCCCCCTGTCAGAGCTCCAGATCAGCTATGTCTGCCGGGAAGTGCTCCAGGTGAGGCGACGCTTGGTGGGTTTGGGTGGGGGCAGGGCCCTGCTCCCACCCCCAGAACACTCACAGCCCCCCTCTCCACCCTCCTCCTCAGGGACTGGCCTATCTACACTCACAGAAGAAGATACACCGGGACATCAAGGTGATCTAGGGGCAGAAAAGTAGCCTTGGTGGGTGGGGGCCTCTGGGAGATGGTAGTGGTATTTGGAGGGCTCAGGCGGTGTGTGACCAGGGAGCAGAGGCAGAGTTGGGCTGGCAGTAGGGAGGGGTGTCTCTGACAGCCTCTGATCCCCCCTCTCTTCCCTAGGGAGCCAACATCCTCATCAATGACGCTGGGGAGGTCAGACTGGGTGAGTGTGGCTGGTGGGGGTGGGAAGGGGGACTGACTGGGAGCCAGAGGGGACAGGGACCCTAGGTCACTATGTCTCTCCCTCTGCCTCCAGCTGACTTTGGTATATCGGCCCAGATCGGGGCCACACTGGCTCGACGCCTCTCTTTCATTGGGACACCCTACTGGTGAGGGGTGCCTGGCTGGCAGCCAGGGGTGGTGTGGGGTTGGTGGTGGTGGGCAGCGGCTTTCCCCACCATGGATCTCTGGGAATCTCCATCCTGGCTTTTTGCCCTGCCTCTGCCTTTCTCTGTTGAGCGTTCTGTGTACTCTGTGGCTCTCCCTTGAGTTTTCCATTTCCCTAGGTCTTTCTGTGCATGTCTCCCCTCCACGTGTTTTTCTCAGTGTTTGTGTTGATTTTGATCCTGATCTCTGTCTCTCCGTATCTGTCCATGGCTGTCTTTTCTGTCTGTTTCAGTCTGTGGCTCTCCCTGTCTCTTTGCCTCTCTCTGTCTATGTTTTCCAGTCTATCTCTGTCTCTCTGTCTTTACCTCTCTCCGTCTTTATTTCTGTCTCTCTGCC